AAAAAGGGTAAAAAATTACGCAAAAAAAGTTTATCCACCCCCAAACCGACACTACGATTAAAGTGTGTTTTACAGAGTTTTAGTGTGTATTCTGCAACTTTGTCGAATGTAAACATTGTGTCTAGATGTCATTTAGTGCTCTTGAAGTTTTCGTGCTCAAAATTTCAGTTTCGTGTTCAAAATTGGAAGTTATTTGTTGAAAAATGCCCAAAAAAGCACAAATTTCAAACAGTATCCTAAATTTGATTATTGAACATCACAAAACTGGCAAAAGCTACCGTGATATTGCCGATAATGTCCAGCTTCACAAAGATACGGTTGCTAGAATTCTGCAGATGCACAAAAAGCGTGGTTCTATCTCACCAGCTAAGCGATCGGGGCGTCCTTCAAAGACAACTGGCCGAATTGACAGAGCTATCGTGAAGAAGGCGGAGCTGGACCGGGGACTATCAGCTCCGAAAATTGCGAAACAGATTGAAAGCGAGTTTTCCAGTCAACTGACATCACAATCCGTACGAAATCGTCTTCATAAGAAAGGTCTTAAGGGCAGAGTAGCTCTTAAGAAGCCATGGTTGTCCGCAAAAAAATATAAAAAAAAAGATTGAAGTTTGCCCAGGACCACATTTTATGGACAAGTGATGAGTGGAATAAGGTGATCTGGTCAGACGAGACGAAAGTAATGCTATTTGGGTCTGATGGTATCAATGGTCTATTTCTATTTCCACAATTCCACTACACAGTTTTTAGTATTCCGCTTTTTTATTATTACTTAAAATTTCAATTTAATTTTTCACGCAAAAAAAAATACGTCAGCATGGCCTACTTCGATCTTATCTGCTTAGCGAAGTACTTGGGCGCTTGGGCTGTGTGGTGAATTTACGTTTCAAAAATAAATCAAAATGCTTGAAAATTCTTCGCTTGTTGATTCCTTATCTACCTATCAGAAATAAGTCTGGTAGATTAGAAGGTTGATTTGAAAATTTAACACTTCTAAAATGAATTAAAATGATCAAAAATCTATCTATAGAGATTGCTGACGTTCATGGTACGCATACTACCTACGTCGCCTATACGTATCCGCAAAATGTTTTCATCAGGAAAAAATTATAGCGGAAAATTATCCCGATGACAACAAATCACTGATACAATCACATTTTAGTAATCTCTATTGATTATCAGTCGATTTTCGAGAAGTTTCCTTGATTCCTCGTCTGTCAGAAATAAGCAGGGTTATTTAAAAAAGTAAAAAAGTTCCATCTGTTAAATTTAATTTTACCAAATGGAATGTGTGTGTGTGTCAAGGGGTAAGTCAATCAGCTGAAATTAGATTCGGCACAGCTTGGACACATCCATCGGTACACCTTCGGCACATCTTCGGCACAATCTCTTGGATTGTTGTAAACAAAATGGAAGCACTGCTGAACAACTGTCATTGAAGTTGTTCACAGCATTACGTGCTGTTTAACTGTATATTCAGGAATATCCTCTAATTGAATATACCAGAGGAACTCAGACCAGCAGTTCACTTATAGATAATTCGAGAGAAAGAGGCAGTTAATCAGACCCCATTAGTAATTTTTATTCAAATAATGCTGCAACTTACACAAAACAAACTAAAGAAGTCTGAATCATCCTCTATAGTCTGTCTCCGACAATGCTCCCCACCGGTTCCAACCCTTTCCCGAGAGGGACGACTCTATCTACGATGCAGGAAATATTGTGCTTTGCTGTGACTAGCTGCGCTTACGCTGAGTAGATAGAAAGAAGATTTATCACGATTTTGAAGATTTCCTGCAAAAAGATGATGCGCGATGCAAGTAGATGCGAAAAATGAAAGAAGATTTTTCGAAGAATTATTCGCTAGTGTGAGATTTTTTGAGCATCTAGAATTAAGATTTAGATGTGTCGCCCCCTCACTCTTTCCGGCCGCTGATAGACCGATGCTTTGCACATCACGAAAAGCTAGGTTTCTGGTCTTAATTTGAGGGCATTATAAAACCCTAAAACACAGGACTTTTATTATCCTATGATCACAAAATACCAAAATTTCGCACATCCACCACTTCCCGCGTCATCCTCCATCCGATCTATCCTTGCGATTTCAAACCAAAACAATCAAGGTGTCAGAAATACCGGGTTGCCGGAATGGGTATTTTACAAAAAAAAAACGCAGCTTACTCTATGCCCGGCACAATCGGTTCACCTGCGGAACACTGACAAAAAAGATGACCCAAGATTAGTGTGTGGAGTGACCTACCCCTTGAATTGAACGCATTTTTAAAAAGACGGTCAACTGTAATTTTTTGGAAGTTATTTGTGGGAAAAATAAAAGCAAAATTACAGAAAGTATTTTTTAAACCTGAAAGTATGAATTTCTATAACTTTTATAATGGAACATCTTATGATTTCAAAGCCCTAGAATGTATTGAGTAACCAGAGATTAAGGTCACTAGGCCAAATGTTATCTGGATGAATAGGTTATAAGACAGAATTGTGAAAAATAAAAGATTTAATTAAAAAAATGATTCAGTTTCCGGGAAATGGTACTTTCCGGAAAATGGTTTGCCGGGAAATGACGTACAATCGAGTTATTTGCATTTATTCGTTTAATTGTAGTGTCCCTCACAATCCAGGAGACGTCGAGCATCAAAATCAAGAACCTTTAAGGCACAACATGTTGATGTATTAGTATTGAAGAACACCTAAAATCAAAAAAAAAAACATGTTCCTGATGCGATTATTAAAAATTGTTTATTAAATTTGATTTGAAAATAGCAGTAGTATCCAATTTTTATCTCCATCGCGAAAATATGTATGTATATATTTGCCCTACCACACTGCCATAAAACCAGTGTTGGAAATGTTCGCGATATTTCACGAAGTTCACCAAGGGAAAAGTTCGCGATTCATAGTGAGTTTTCGCGAACTTTTCCATCACTGCATAGCCAGGTAACAATTTGATGCTTAACAAGTGTTGATTAATCGATTTCAATTCAGCCTTAGATTGAATAAATGCTGTACATAGGCCACGTTAACCTTTGTCCAGCTTTTAAACATCTAAATCTGGTGATTTTAATCAGCCGAAAGCTTAACAGTAATATACATTATAAGCTTTTTAAGGCATTGCATAACAGTCTTTTCCAACCCTTGTTCAGCCTTCTAGTTTTATTTTAAAAATAATAATGGAAGACCGCTTCATATCTGCTTTAACTTGTTGCTGACTAATTGGATTAACATATTTATATTGTTAATATAAGTCTAAACATTACCTTTGCATTTCGGGATTCGAACCAGTAGTCGCTGATTCATAGGCGTCAATCATACCTACTGGGCCATTTAGGCATATGTGTGGTAAAAGGTATGATCATTAACTTGAAGCACGTCAAATTTAAGTTCAATAACAGCATCCGGAAGAGTTTTATACAGCAATGCAGAATTGTACCTAAGCAACAACTGGTAACAGTTAAACATTCCTCTCATTTTCAAGTGCACTTAACACAATGTGGACACAAGCAGGCATGGAAAATCATTTACATTCATTTCATGCATTTATTTTATTTCCTCTATCTTTTTACATCGACAGAATTCCGTAAAATGATGTTTGTGGTTTTTGTAGAGTTTGATATTAGCTCAAACTTTTGTCAATGACTCAAATCTGTACCTCTCATGCATGACGAATTAGAGCGGACAGAGCTTGTTATTATTTTTCAGTGAATGAACTTTACATGATGGGTTCTGTTTGCACTGGTTAAACAATTGTTTGCAAAAGTTGTAGCTAATATTAAAACCTACAAGAGCTTCATACACCATTCTACGTAATTTGGTTGATGAAATAAGTTAGAGGCAAACAAATCGCATGCTTGTGTCCAGCATGGCAAATCACTTACATTCATTTCGTGCATTCATGTACATTCACATGAATGCACGAAATGAATGTAACTGATTTGCCATGCCCGGACACAAGCACGCGATTTGTTTTGATGGTCATTTGGATGCTATTATTGCCATAATTGAGTAATATTTTTTGGAATGAGGTCTGAAAATTCAGTGCAATATAAAGTGGCGAACAGTCAAAACACAGAAGTACAAATGTTAAAACTTCCGACGTCCTCGCAGACCACTTCTACCTGTATCTATTCTTAAAAATCTCCTTTTCCTTGTCTCTACTGCTGCCACTGCCTTTAATTAGAAAGGTAGGCAGTGAATTTAGCAGAACTAAAATGCCGGACATGCAACGAGTGACACAGACACTGACGACATTTAACAAATCAAGCTATCAAAATATGTGTAACGCATTGCTGATTTGTGGAGTTGTGTTAAGCTTATATAAGGCTTGTTCAATCTTTGGATCAGCTAACCCATTGAGGTTGGATTATTGGGATACAATTCGCTTCATGCACTATTAATCAACTATATATTCAGCCTGATGTTAATCACCTTTGTACACCTTAAATCAACCAATAATCAGCTTCTGTTCTCAATGTTCAGCTTGAATTGTTACTTGGGTAAACCCATTTAAGTTATGGCGAGCGTAAAATTTTGGATAGTTCTTCGTGCATACGCTAGGTAGCACCTTACTAGCAAAGAAGGCATGTCTCCTGTGATTAATATGGGGAAAATGTTCACATGACCATCTTGATAATCGGATATCTTTGGTTCATTTTTGAGTTGAGACATAAAAGCAGGTATAGACAACGATACCAAAATAGGACACCAACCTTTTGAATATCTATTCAAAAGGCTTGCTGTGGTAACCGTCTATTTTGAAAGCTTTGTCTCTAAGAGCTCAACCGTTCAATAATATACTTAATTACCAGCACTTCAAACAGTTTCTCACTTATGTAAACTCAGCCAATCAAGTAAAGCAAGCCGTTATGAATATAAATTGACATTAATTACTTCAATCACCTCTGTTCATACACTTTGATTAAAATCACCTGGCTTAACCCACCCCTTACGAATAATTATCTTTTTTGTTTCCTCTTCTCACCTCACCGTAGATCGGATTCAGTGACCTGGAACCCGCACAAGTTGCTTGCCGCTCCGCAGCAATGTTCGACCTTCCTGACTCGCCACGAGGGCATCTTGTCCGAGTGCCACTCGACGAACGCGACCTATCTGTTCCAGAAGGATAAGTTCTACGACACCCAGTACGATACCGGCGATAAGCACATCCAGTGCGGCCGCCGAGCCGACGTGCTCAAGTTTTGGTTCATGTGGCGCGCCAAGGGCACCTCCGGATTGGAACAACACATCGACAAGGTATTCGAGATTGCCGAATACTTCACCAACAGTATTAAAGCCCGGGATGGGTTCGAGATGGTTGTGGAGAATCCCGAGTGCACCAACGTGTGCTTCTGGTACGTGCCACCAGGTCTGCGGAATGTTTCCCGGGATAGTGCCGAGTTTGCCGAGCGACTGCACAAGGTTGCCCCCAAGGTCAAGGAACGGATGATGCGCGAGGGATCGATGATGATCACATACCAACCGATCCACGATAAACCCAATTTCTTCCGATTGGTGCTGCAGAACTCGGCCCTGGACAAGTCGGACATGAACTACATTATCGATGAAATCGAACGACTCGCCGTTGATTTGTAATTGGGAAATCCACGGCTGACAAGAGCGGAAACTTTTTTCGTTTCCATCTTGCTAATATGTGTAGGGAGTTTTGTTGAATTTTTATAAAACATAACTTATAATCTTTGTGAAATAATGAAAAAAAAAACTTGTATTTATTGGATGCATTGTTTTGTTAGTAGGAAGCGTGCACGTGTGTTGGCAGAACTGTGCGTGATATCAGTCGAATGTGGAAGAAAAATGAATCGCAAAGATATGTGATTGTACTAATGTATAGGCATCGGAAGCAAAACAGTAACTTTAACATAAGCACAATGGTTTATCAGTATATAAGGATGTACAAAATGACAAATAAATGGCTTTACTGATGTATTGTATTCCAAAGCATTTTTTTTTATTGAAACGAAAATATTAACCATTGTTTAAGTGCTGTATCAGTGTACTGGTTTACTACAGTAAATTTGAAAATTTAACTTTTTTTATCGGCAACCACCACAATACAAACTAAACTGTAGCGAGGCAAAAACGTCGCGACATTTCTAAACTGTTTTTTGCCAGCTACGCTACATTTTCGCACACAACATGTGACAACTTATCACTCACGGTGAAGTTTTTTTTTTTTTTAATTCTTTATTAAAGAGATTTTTAGCCTTAGGCTAGTTCATCTCTAACTCACGGTGAAGTGATTCCCATTTGATTTAAACGGCAATCAGTTCACCGTGAGTGACAAGTGGTCACTTCACTTCGTTTTCACCGTGAAGTGACACTCGTAGTAAGGGCCTATAATAATTATTTTTTTTTTTTCAGATTCTCAGAACGATTTCGACCCCACATTTAAAATTACAGGACACGGGAATTGAATGTTGTGACGATGAAAAAATCATTGAAAAATATGTAGTTTTTTTTTTTCCTTTATTATAGAGATTTTTAGCCATAGGCTAGTTCATCTCTTAGCCAAAAATATGTAGTATATTATTGATCAAGGCATGACACTTTGATCTTCCAAGCAATTCAATAAATATGAAGAGATAAATTCAATGGCTTCATTGTATTTTATCCTTAACGATGAAAACTAATACTTTATGAACTAAAATTACATTAAATCCGCTATAAGCATTGCTTAGGTTGTGAACCATTTGCCGAGTTAAATTTAACTCGTGGTTAAAAGTGACATTTCGAAAGTTATTCTCTATGTTCGAAAATCCCTGTGCTGTCGATCGACCGGTTTTCAAGAAGAACTCAGCCACAGTTGTCAAAATTTAATTTCTTGTCTGACAGAAGTAACCACGCTCCGATAGAAGGGTTAATCGATAACTTTCCATCTGTCAAATTTTAACCAAAATTTAAAATAATCCACCAAATGGTTCAGAGCCTTAGGCTGTGTTCCATTTGGTGAATATTCACTTAAATTTGACAGATGGAAAATTTTCAAATAAACCTGCTATTGTACCAGACTTATTTCTGACAGACCAGGAATGAATTTTGACAAACACCTTCTCGAAAATAGGAAGATCAACAACAGAGGGATTTTCGAACATCTTAATTTATTAACGAACTGTCAAATTTAAAAGAAGCCTTACTAAGGCTGTGTTCCATTTGGTGAATTTTCACTTACATTTGTCAGATGGGAAATTTCCAAATAAACCAGCTGGAATAGCAAACTTATTTCTGAGAGACAAGGAATCATTTTTGACAGACAGGGATTCTCGAACATTTTAATTTATTCTCGAAGTGTCAATCTATGTATCTAGATAGAGCTGGAATTAGGGCGTACTTTCAACATACTTTTCAATTTTAATGTATGATAATTAACTTTAATCGAGTTCCTTTTCAAAGAGCATTGATAGCTAAGACTGTAATCTTTCATTTGGTATGTTGAAATCAGAAAACCACATTAAGATTAAAAAAATATAGCTAACCAAAGTTGGCAATACAAAAAAACATAAAATGTTGAATAACTCACTTAGCAGTCATTTCCGACCCTATGTATCATGCGGATTTTTTCATAACTTTAGGAGCCCTATCTACCCTAACAATATGTAAAACCCGGAACCAAACACCCTGTATATAGATAAATTTCTGTCTGTCTGTCTGACCCTTATAGACTCCGAAACTACTGAACCGATCGCCGTGAAAATTGGTATGCGGGGGTTTTTGAGACCGGGAACCAAATTTGGCATGTGGAGGTATAAGGAGATGTTTATAGGTGGTCTTAGATAAGAGGTTTGCTGAAGCCACCACTATTGGTGGTGTCAGCACTGTAACCTACAGTGTTTATGCTATCCCGACCAACCATTTCGTTAATTTTCTTTAATTTTCTATACATCGATCTTCAAAGCCATTCATAAGAAAAATCGATAGCGATCGTCACCATTTCATGAATACTTGTAAAGATACTAAAAGTCTAATCGTGAATCGTTTATAAAGATCTTTCTCAAAATATTGCTACCAATCGTTATCAATGTTAGAATATCGATTGTTTTGCCAGATCAAAATATCGATTTCTGTTGTAAAATCAAAATATCGATACACAACTGCTGATTTTATTTGGGATTTTTTATGTGCATAATTTCTAGTTTCAATCCCATGCCATCTGGGGTGTACTGATTTCGTTGTTGGTTGCTAATCCTCGGGTCCACGGCTGCTGTTGATGAGCTTATCAACGACAGGCAAACACACTGGTGTATTGAAATTTCCGTCAACCTTTTCATACATGAATTCAATATTTATTTATCATAACCATCAACCAGTCAGCCATGTAGGTGTAATAGAGGTCAAAAAGGTATCAATTTTCCTCATTGGGTTCCAATTGCCTAGAATCCCACCACGCATGCTATCACGGGTTATTAAATATTTATATAGACGTAAACTTGAAGAACTACAATGGTAAACATTTGCTGCGTCGCGGCCATCGGTCTTCTCGTTCATTTACCGGCAGATTGCTTCTTCCGATGAAATGCCGAATATGTCGATAAATAATAATGTAAACATTGCCATCTGTCACCTGGTGTGTCAAACTCTCTTTAACCTGCGATGCAAATCGATAACAAGGAGATTATAAATGTGCTTCGATGGCAATCTTTGTTGTTCTTTGTCAAAGTTCAAAGCTACGATGATATCAGTATTTAAATATTTATTGATGAATATTTGTAAAGAATACTAAAGTCCATGTGACATATCGAAATTAAAAGAAATTTAGTATGGCACCTCCATAGATTACTATCATATGACCGATGAAGAAATAATCTTAAATGTAAAGGGTTATACGGTCAAAATTTGGTCAATATCAACTTGACGTATTTCTTTCAATTTTGCATTTAAAAAACCTGAACACCCCTCATTTTGAAGGTGTGTGTGTGTAGAATGTTGCTCCTATTTTGATTTTGGAATTCACTCTTCAGTTGTCAAAATGCCGTCCAAGCAAGAAGAGCAGCGTATCAAAATTTTGCTCGCGCATCGCGAAAATCCGAGCTACTCGCACGCAAAGTTGGCAAAATCGCTAAAAGTTGCCAAATCAACCGTTACAAATGTAATTAAAGTGTTTGGGGAACGTTTGTCGACAGCCAGGAAGTCTGGATCGGGGGGAAATCGAAAACCGGAAGCCGCTGAGACGACAAAGAGAGTTGCCGGTAGTTTCAAGCGAAACCCTAACCTCTCTCTCCGAGATGCCGCAAATAAGCTGGGTGTATCGTCTACAACCGTGCATCGAGCCAAAAAACGAGCCGGACTATCGACTTACAAGAAGGTAGTGACTCCAAATCGCGATGATAAACAAAATACGACGGCCAAAGCGCGATCCCGGAGGCTGTACACGACGATGCTGACGAAGTTTGACTGCGTGGTAATGGACGACGAAACCTACGTCAAAGCCGACTACAAGCAGCTTCCGGGACAGGAGTTTTATACGGCAAAAGGAAGGGGAAAGGTAGCAGATGTTTTCAAGCACATGAAACTGTCAAAGTTCGCATCGTAGTATCGATAAATAAAGATTTTTAAATGTGTACATCGAAATCATAGAAAATTTAAATTAAAGAATTGCAGACATAAATCCTTATTTCTGTATAAAGAACATTGAAGAAGTTTCACGAACGGTTGGTCGGGATGTTTATATGTGCATTGACGACACGTAGCGGCAGGAGGGACATAGTGAACAGGTGGGGCATAGTGAGAATTCCGCACTTTGGCTCTGGATCTCCAGCTGCATGAAACAAATCAACTGGTAGTAGGTACAATATCATTATGATATTGATCCTACCACCAACCAATTTGTTCCGAACGGCCGGAAGACCAAGCTAGGGCATGGGATGCTCACTATGCCCCACCTGTTCACTATGCCCCTCTTATCCCTATGCGTTAAAAAATCTCATATGAATAGTCATTAATGAAACTTTAATTTTCCATAATTAGCTTGCCTAATTTAAAAATAATACATTAAATATTTAATTCCTACCAGAACGCGCTTGTTGAACATTTATCATGATTATTTTGCCGCGCAATAAATCAAACATCTATGTAAACGGAGCATAATTTATCAATGTTTGCATCAGCAGTCTTAGATTGGCAGAGCTAGTTTAAGATAAAATTCCCCAAATGGAACACAGCCTAATAACAACAATCAATCCGAAACTAACGATTTTAAATTGGCTCACTACTTGACTAGCCTATTGGTCCCAAGCAAACGATTAACGTAGTCCATTCTAGTCGAAATTCTAGTACTACGCAATGTTTGTTTTGATTCGCTATATACGCTATTCGGTTGACAGAAGAAATGAGGGGTTATTGGTTTTTCCTATGTTTCGAGGGGTTAATCGATTAGCTTGGGACCGAAGAGAGTACCAGAGCTGAGCTGAAAAGTTGAGCACGTTATTTCGGAACCTTCTAGTCTTAGAGTTACCTCTATGCTAATAAGGCCTGTGATCGAAAAAAATGCACCAGACAAAAGTGTTCGCCAAAAATTTATTTTAAGTCGAATTTTCTTGAAAATTTCCGGGAATGACCTAATACATATGGATTATGTTTCGGCATAATTACTTTATTCAATTTCCTTTCCATCGCTGAAAGCCCGCACCTTTCCCTTAAGACCCTTCATTACATTTTGTGCAATGGTGGAGCCGACCTTTTTGGTCACTTTCATCCATTCTTTCTTCAACTCCAGCTTGGACGATATTCGAACTTTGGCCTTCATTATGGCCAAAAATCTTTCCACCGGACGAATCTCTGGTGAATTTGGGGGGTTGGCGGTTTTTGGTACAAAAACAACGTTATTGTCTCTGTACCAATCCAACGTCGATCGCGCGTAATGGCATGATGTCAGGTCCGGCCAAAATAATGTCTCGCCTCCGTGGGACCGCAGAAAGGGCAACAGACGCTTCTGGAG